TTATGTTGCACAGACAATTCAATTGGATTTCCCTTAGGGATCTTCAGGGTACTGACAATGTCCTATGTAAGTATCTACGTCCTATGACATCATCTGGGCCAGTTACATAGTGACCCCTCAACCACTCTCCCCTCCTCTTGTTTTTTTGTTCTTTTGCTTTCTCTCCTCTTTCTGTCAGGGTGCCCCCTCCTCACACCATTTCTCTCTCTTTCCAATAAACCTCATTGGATTTAAGAAAAACAAACAAACAAACAAACAAACAAACAATAAAGCAATAGAACTTCTGGGGTATCTCTACACCAGAACTTAAACTATAATACAGATAAATAGTAATAATAACTGCATGGAACTGGCATAGAAATAGGCTGGTTGCACACCAATGAGCCAAAACCATTCAATAGAAAAAAGACAGCATCTTTAACAAATGGTGCTGGTCCAACTGGATGTCCACATGCAGAAAAATGAAAATAGACCCATATTTATCACCCTGCACAAAACTAAAGTCCAAGTGGATCAAAGACCTCTTGATCTTGTATCTTCATCTGGTATCATAAAACCAGATACTCTAAATCTGTTAGAAGAAAAAGTGGGGAACAGCCCAGAACTCCTTGGCACAGGAGACAACTTCCTGAACAGAACACCAACAGCACAGGCTCTAAGAGCAACAATCAATAAATGGGACCTCATGAAACTGAAAAGCTTCTGTAAAGCAAAGGACACTGTCATCAAAACAAAACGACTGCCTACAGATTGGGAAAGAATCTTCACCAACCCTTTATCTGACAGAGGGCTAATATCCAGTATATACAAAGAACTAAAGAAGCTGAAAAGCAGCAAACCAAGTAATCCAATTAAAAAATGGGGAACAGAGCTAAACAGAATTATCGACAGAGGAATATCAAATAGCAGAGAAACACTTAAAGAAATGTTCAACATTATTAGCCATTAGGAAAATGCAAATCAAAACAACCCTGAGATTTCACCTTACACCCATCAGAATGGCTAAGATAAAAAACTCAAGTGACAACACATGCTGGAGAGGTTGTGGAGAAAGGGGAACCCACCTCCACTGCTGGTGGAAATGTAAACTGGTACAACCACTTTGGAAATCTATCTGGCGCTTTCTCAGACAATTAAGAATAACGCTTCCTCAAGACCCAGCTATACCACTGCTAGGTATATACCCAAAATTTGCTCAAGTACACAAAAGGGATACTTGTGCAACCATGTTTATAGCAGCTTTATTTGTAATAGCCAGAAGCTGGAAACAACCCAGATGTCCTTCGACTGAGGAATAGATACAGAAACTGTGGTATTTTTACACAATGGAATACTACTCAGCAATCAAAAAGGAGGAAATCATGAAATTTGCAGGCAAATGGTGGGATCTAGAAAAGATCATTCTGAGTGAAGTCTCCTAGAAGGAGAAAGACAAACATGGTATACACTCGCTTATATAGACCTATAAGATATGATAAACATAACGAAATCTGTACACCTAAAAAAGGTAATCAAGACAGCGGACATGGGGTAAGATGATCAATCCTCATTTAGGAAGACATATGGGATATGCATTGAACGTATGATAGGAGTCTACTGCAGAAGGCATCTGAAAGACTCTACCTAGCAGTGTTTTCAAAGCAGATACTAAGACTCATAACCAAACCTTCGTCAGAGTACAGGGAATCATATGAAAGAAGGGGAGTTAGTATGATGGGGAAAGGATAGGAGCTCCACAAGGACCAAATATATCTGGGCACAGGGTCTTTTCAGAGACTGTCATTCAACCAAAGACCATGTATGGATATAACCTAGAACCTCTGCTCAGATGTAGCCCGTGGTAGCTCAGTAACTTATTGGTTTCCCATAGTAAGGGGAACAAGAACTATTTCTAACAGGAACTCAATGGCTGGCTCTTTGACCTCCCCCCAAGGGAGGAGCAGTCCTGTTAGGCCACAGAGGAGGACTTTGCAGCCAGTCCTGAAGATATCTGATCAAAAAGGGTCAGATGAATGGGGAGGAGGTCCCCCCATCAGTGGACTTGGAAAGGGGCAGGGAGGAGATGAGGGAGGGAGGGTGGGATTGGGAGGGAATGAGGGAATGGGATACAGCTGGGAAACAGAGTTAATAAAATGTAACTGATAAGAAAAAAATAAAATTAAAAAAAAAAAGAAATAGGCTGGTTGATCAATGGAATCATATCAAAGACCCAGAAATAAACTCACATACCTATGTACAACTGATTTTTGACAAGGTAGCCAAAACCATAAAATAGAAAAAAGACAGCATCTTCAACAAATGGTACTGGTCTAACTGGTTGTCTACATAGAGAAAAATGCAAATAGATTCATATTTATCACCCTGCACAAAACTCAAGTCCACATGAATCAAAGACCTCAATATAAAACCAGATACACTAAATCTACTAGAGGAGAAACTGGGTAAGGGCCTTGAACTCACTGGCACAGGAGACAACTTCCTGAACAGAACACCAACAGCACAGGCTCTAAGATCAACAATCAATAAGTGGGACCTCTTGAAACTTAAAAGTTTCTGTAAAGCAAAGGACACTATCAATAGAACAAAATCGTAGTCTAACAGACTGGAAAAAGATATTCACCAATCTTGCATCTGACAAAGGTCTAACATCCAGAATATATAAAGAACTCAAGAAATTAAACACCAAAAGACAAATAATAGAAAAATGGAATATGGACCTAAACAGAGAATTCTCAACAAAGTAATCTCAAATGGTGGAGAAACACTTAAAGAAAAGTTCAACGTTCTTAGTCATCAAGGAAATGCAAACAAAAATGACTTTGAAATTCCATCTTACACATGTCAGAATGGCCCAGATCAAAAATCAAGTGATAACACATGTTGTTAAGGATGTGGAGAAAGATAAAAATAAAATAAAAAAAAAATGCGGACAAAGGAAAACATTCCTCCATCACTGGTGGGAGTGCAAACTTGTACAACCACTTTGTAAATCCATCTGAAAACTGGGAATAACCGTACCTCAAGACCCAGCTATACCACTCCCAGGCACACCTGAAAGATGCTCCACCACACAAGGACATTTGTTCAACCCTGCTCATAGAAGCTTTATTCGTAATGCCAGAAACTGGAAACAACCTAGATGTCTCTCAACTGAAGAATGGCTAAAGAAACTGGGGTACATTTACACAATAGAAATACTACTCAGCCATTAAAAACAAGGAAATCATGAAATTTTCAGGCAAATGGATGGAACTAGAAAATATCCTGAGCGAGGTAACAGAGACCCAGAAAGACACATATGGTTTATACTCACTTATAAGAGGATTTTAGTCACATGGTACGGGATAGACATACTACAATGCACAGACCTCAAGAAGATAAGTCTGAGGTACACTGTAGGCTTCATGTTGGCCCACTAGTTTGGGGAGTTGGAGGATAACTCTGATACAGACTATGTTGCCTGCTTTTTGATCACTTTCCCCTGATGGGAATTCCCTACCAGGCCATGGGGCGGGGGGAGACTAACTCAGATACCTAGGTGAATAGAAGACCTGGGGTGTCTAGTTAGAAAGGCTCCCCCATTCTGAAGAATAGGGGAGAGAACTTGTGGGAGGGAGAGTGGGACTGGAAGGAGTGGAGGGAAGGGCCTATGACTGAGGTGTAAATTGAATTAATTAACAATAAAAAAAAGATAAAAAGAAACTAATCGGAACTGAAAAAAAAAGATTTCCTCTGAAAAGGAGTCCAGAGTATTTAATATTTTGATACAATGTAGACAGTTGTTTTGCATATACAGACTGCACAGAGAGACGATCCTTCTAAACCTTAGAATATTTCAATATCATGGTGGGTTAATGGTCGATGACTGTCATGTACTGTGTCATCAGTTAGCTATTGTATAAGAAAACAGTCCAAAATAATGTGTTTTAGAACAACCACCTCATACTTTTTTCTCATATGATGTGTGTTATCTAGGGAGTTCTAATCATCTGAGCCAGGCTCAGCCGAATTCAGCTGAAATGACTCATGGAGTTATAGCTGTCTGCAGGTCATCTGGAAATGAACACATCTAGGGTAGTCTCAGCTGATAAACTTGGCCTTGTCCTGTGTGGTCTCCAAGCTCTCAATAGTGAGTCCTGGGAAGACAGAGGCAGAAGTAATCAGCGTTGAAACTGGTGGAGGTTTGAATGAATGTGGTAGTGATGGAGACTGAGTTCTTTTCACAGAGGTGAGAAAATGACTTACTTCTCTAAGTTTGTATCTCAGTTCACACACAGTATTTAAGGCATGGGGGTGAGTGGCATTTCTCATATACTATCTCCTGTTCCTCTGTATGACAAACTCAGATAGCCAAGTGATTTACCTTTTTCCAGAGTCCATGTAAATGATCATCAATTGTCACATGATAATGTAGAATCTGATATTTGTCAGGACAAACATAAAATCATAGAGTAAGGATGTAGTACTGAGACCCAATACTTTAGTCTTTTATTCTCCTACAACATGACAGAATTATTTTTTTTTCCAAATATTGAGGCTCTAACTCATCTGGCAACTTTTTTTAAAAAAGATTTATTTATTACTTATACAACATTCTGCCTATACACCAGATCTTACTATAGATGGTTATAAGCCACCATGTGGTTGCTGGGAATTGAACTCAGGACCTTTTGGAAGAATAGCAAGTGCTATTCTTCTGAGCCATCTCTCTAGCCCCCTCATCTGGTAATTTTTATAGTGATTCCATACTTTCATAAATTTCAGTTAAGTAATGTAACATGTAATTAAATGTAACATGTAAGTAAAGTAACATGTAATTAAAACAAGATTAAGTTGTGCACATTATTTTCAGTTTTATTTAGATCAAATAATGTGATTACTATGAAGAATTTTTTATAGAAATTTTTATTGAAATAGAGATTTAAAGACAAAGTTTTATCATCTAATTATTTTATCCTGAAATAATTAAATGCAAAAGCAAAGCATGTCAAATTGCTACACACATGTTGGCACTGTATAATGTATACAAAAGCGTCACCAAACATTTATACTGTTTTATTATAAATAATTGAAAATAATATCTCACTTTTCAAACCCACATAACAAAACAGTAAATAGCATGCCTTTTCCTCATCATTTCACTTTATTTTTGTAATATGAATTGAAAAACAGTATACCTTATCCAAGATTGGTTTTAGAAAACCTATGGGAACAACAATAACAACCACAACCACAAAAACACTCATTTTCTTTCACCTAAGCGAAAGCAATGGTTTTAGAGGGCTAGGCTTAAGAGAGCTGTGAAGGAGTCACTAATATTGGAAAAACTCTGTAATGTCTGCTTATACCACTTGTAAGGCAAAATGGCATTTTATGTAGACATTATAAATACAAGAAAAATGTGATGGTAAACAAAAAAAAACATTTTTCTTAAAACCATGAATAGCTTTAGTCTCCCAGATAGAGAAAAGCCACTAAGGCATTGTGGAGTTATGAAGATTGATATTTTAGTGCTTGTATGTCACAGAAAATCTTCTCCTTTTCTGAGAAAGCAGAACTAATGCTTATATTTAGTTTTCTCATTTCATAGTAAATCGTGTTTGATTAAATTTTTTTTCTAATGCAGCCTTGAACATTTATAGACAAAGAACACGTCTTGATAGAATACTGCAGTAACAGCAAGTTATCACAAAATCCTGCATTCAAAACTTCACTTATAATAGATTATGCCATGGGGACATCTTAACTAAGGCACTTATAGCAGATAACATTCAGAAATGTCCTAGTCTAATGACTGATTTTTTTTGTACTTTTCATATATAAGGAGTTATGCCAATTTTCTCCACTAATATTATTTTACAAGATAGAAATTGCTTGAAGAAATAGAGCCTGGAGAGAAGAAAGAATGTGAAGAGTAATATATTTAATCAAGTAGTATAGGAATTGCCTTTGAGCACTCATATTTATAATCATCAGTTGAAGACAGCATTGTGCACTCCAGATTGAACAGGTACCGAGTTGAGCATGGATGGGAGTAACAAACTATGTACAATCATACTTAAAATTCTTCCATTCTTTGTAGACTTCAAAGTGTAACTTTTATTAAAAAAAAAAAACTGGAGCAGGATGCATTTATTGAGTACATTGTAGTTAATTAACAAAAATTAAATTAGCATGAAAAATCTGGATGAAAAATTAAGGCCAACAAACATTAAAAAGGTGGTGTCATCTATTGCAAATACATGCAGGGATATCTGTACAATGGGCTGTTCTAATTCAAGCATGCCACATAATGCTTTGCTATATACTATCAATGAGAACATTAAGTACATGCATATTGATTTAAGAACTGGATGGTAAAGTTTCCATTCCTTATATAGGCTCTAAACACATTTGTGTGTCAGTCGATTTTAATGCAAATGAATACTGTAGCATGACCATTCTTGGTTTTACTTTATATCTTTTGAAAACCGTATTCCCCCAAACTCAGAATCTTTGAGCATCACTGTTATCCAACATACTGTATTGTATCATGGCGTACAAAAACAGATTTACACTTGAACATGAGAAAACTGAAATCAATTAGTAAATATCATATTTGCTGGAAATGGGCTTCTAAAGACCACTAACATTTAGCAAACTCAGAGGACAAGGCTGTTCTTTATGTCACACTTGTGCAGTGACATCAGCATTATTTGTTAGCAGTATTTTCTAGAATGATACCAATTCACCTCTGCACTCCATCTTCAACAGATTCCTGTAGGCCTGATCTCATTTTTTTCATATATGTTCTTTGCTGATCATTCGTCTTTTTCTTTTGTATAAAACAAGCTGCATTTATCAGCAGGGTGTTATAGGTTCAAAATATGTTCCAGTAGCACTTTGAAGCACGGAGAGCTGAGTTTCTTCCCTTTTTAAAGCATGACAATGAATGGCATTCTCTGGATACAATCCACTCAAACACAGTGACCCAAGTGGAGACTTTCTTGAACTCAGTAGGCTCCAAATCCCTAGTCAAGAATCCTGGTGACATCACAAATCCACTTGCTGCTGGAAGGGAATCAATGCTATTTGTTTCTGAAGCTCCCAAATAGCTTCTCACCTGGGGGCATCCCCAGATTTCTTTGCAGGTTTCTAATATAGGCATTGCACTTTCAAAAGTCGAAGGGCCTGATCATCATGGTTGTAGAACGCAAGGAATAACTGGGCCCTTTGAAGTAGTGCCACTTTATCCCATTCAATTTTCCATGATTTTGTCCCGCAGTGTAGAACATTCCATTTAGATTGGAGGGACCACAGGCATCAAACCACCAACCTGAAAAATGAGTCAACAGAAGAGAAAATGAGAAGAAATAGAAGCAAGTCATGTCTAATATTTGAAAATAACTGTCATGGCTGATGAGAGATTGTTCACACTTTTTCTGAATATTTGCAAACAGAAAGCACTGAAACAGTATCCTCCCAGGAGACCTGTTCCAAATGACACTTGTAGAATATGTATAAGCAATCAGAGGGAAAGAAACTCATGAAAACCCACTTTCAGTGTAACAGTGTTGGGACTCCCTTGGCACGGTAATTATACAGTCTCTAAACTTAGATTTCAAGATAAAGTCAAGCCCAATATAAAAGTAGAATTCACCTTAAGTCTATAACTGAGAACAGTGTATTAACAAAGTCAGAAGCTTAGATAAATCTCCCTCAAAAGGGAAGACAAATATTTTCTATTAACTTCATGATTTTGGTAGGAATTAATCCTAAAATTAATTATGTACTTAGTGCCTATAAGTGCTCAAATTGTATCTGGCCTGTCTATAATTTATAGCAACATGAAAGTGTCTCCAACAGAGGCCATATAGTTAATATTTATCAATACTTCATCTATAATAGTTCAAATTGTTTTAAAATATAATGGAAGGAAAACTATGCAAAAAAATGATGTTTTCCAGTGCTTACACAGTATGTTAGAATTATTGAACAAGCAAGCTCTTGTTTTCTTAGAATTTTCCGATAAATCATAGTTCTTTTCTCCTGAAGTAACACCACTGAAATCTTTAGGGAGAGAGTTATGCCAGAGACATTCTAGAATATTTTTATTTGGATACACTTGACCTCTTCTTGATTGCAGAGCTGTACCTAAGGGACTAATAGCTAAAGAAGGAGAAAGTTGTCCAGCTGCTGTCTGACAGTAACATGAGCATTGTCTTGCAGAAATTTTAGCAAAAGTTAAATGAAGTAACACTAGTTCTCTTTGCTTTCAAATGGAGAAGGTTAATGCAGCCGGGGTATGTTTATAAAGCCATACCAGGGGCATAACAAGCTGCATTAGTCACCAACCCATCTGGGGAGGAGTAAGGTATGTCTGATGGAGCATGAGAATCCTGTATTCCATGTTGTATGTACTCAGCTTGAACATTAACACGGTCCAAACACAAGAAACAAGAAAGCCCTTGTTTGGTACACACAGTGGAACTGTACGATTCCATCTTTCCTTCCTTATAATTAATTTCCCAATACTTGGTCAGTATTTCTAGTAAAAAAAAAAGAAAGAAAATAAAATATGATTTATATTGCAGAAGATAGTCTCATTTAAAGGAGTTGATTTAACCTGAAAATTTGCATTAAGGGACCATGCTGACACTCTAAAATGAAATTCAACTTCTTTGCCTCTGTGCTTTAATTTCCCTTTTCCTGTGTAATTCCTGAGTTTCTTCTGTCCCTTTAGCCTTGCTCAGTTGTTCAGTCTTGCCTTTGTCCCTCCTTGGGTCCAAAGCAAAAGCTCTTACTCATTAAGGATAGCAGTGAAGATTCACAGAGTCCTCTCTTGAACTGCATTCAGGAACTCAAGCTAAAATGTAAACTTTGTCTCATTTATAAAATGTCACAGAATTTCTAGAAAAAAAGGTGTGGAAATAGACAGCACCTGGTCATAACAGGAGAAACTAAAGGACCCAATCATGGAATACCTTCGTCTGAGATTAGGAAAGACAGAGAAGACATGTATCCTGTGATGAAATAAGGCAAACCTATCTCGTGTGCTTTATTTAATGAGTGAAAGAAGTAATTGTGATGAATGTGGCATTTTGGAGACAGCCAAAGAAAACCATCAGTGCTGGGATACTGTCAACAGGATAAATAGTCACCTGAAGTCAAGAAGATTGCAGAATTTAAAAACTCAGGCTTTTTTTTTTTTCATTACCCTAAGGGTAAATACTTAGTACTTCACCCAGTTGGGCTTGCTAAGCATATGGCATGAAGGGGCTACAGGCTTCTCATTCACTGCCTCTGACAAACTAGTTCTCTTTATAAGTGATTTAGTCCACTGCAAAGATGCTTTAGTAAATATCTCTGTATGAAATATTTGTATGAAATATTCAGCTCCCCCAACCCCATTCAAATGTTGTTGTGCAATAGTCCACATGACAGTCACGGATTTCACCCTCACAGAAACCTCATGCAAAGTGAGAAACATAAACAAAATGTGATAAGGTCATTACTGATCATGATCAGGAGCGCCAATAAGGGGCTATGAAGAAAAGGACAACTGCATAGTGTTGGAAGAAGCTGATGTTTTTTTAAATTTTTTATTTATTACAATTTACTCACTTTGTATCCCAGCTGTAGCCCCCTCTCTTGTCCCGCCCCAATCCTGCCCTTCCTCCCTCTTCTCTTCCCAGGTTCCCACAGTCCACTGATAGGGGATGTCCTTCTCCCCTTCTCTCTGACCCTAGTCTATCAGGTCTCATCAGGACTGGCTGCATTGTCTTCCTCTGTGGCCTGGTAAGGCTACTCCTCCCTAGGGGAGGTGATCAAGGAGGCAGCAACTGAGTTCGTGTGAGAGAGAACCCATGTTGCCCTTACTAGGGAAACCACTTGGACACTGAGCTGCCATGGGCTACATCAGTGCAGGAGTTCTAGGGGTTCTAGGTTATCTCCATGAATGGTCCTTGGTTGAAATATCAGTCTCAGAATCAACCCCTGTGCCCAGATTTTTTTGTTTTCTTGCTCTCCTTGTAAAGTTCTTGTCCCCTCCAGGTCTTACTATCTCCCCCTTGTTTCATAAGATTCCGTGCACTCTGCCCAATGTTTGGCTATGAGTCTCAGCATCTGCTTGAATACCTTGCTGGTAATCTTTCATGGTCCTTTGCGGTAGGCTCCTGTCCTGTTCCCTGTTTTCTCCATCTTCCAAGGTCCATCCCATTTGCCTTTTTGAATGAGGATTGAACATCTTACCTAGAGTCCTCCTTCTTGCTTAGCTTCTTTAGGTGTACAGATTTTAGTATATTTATCCTATATGATATGTTTAATGTCACTTATAAGAAAATATATACCATGTGCTTCTTTCAGCTTCTGAGATACCTGACTCAGGATGATCTTTTCTAGTTCCCACCATTTGCATGCAAATTTCATGGTTTCCTTGGTTTTAATTGCTGAGTAGTATTCCATTGTGTGATATAAATGAACCACAATTTCTGTATCCATTCCTCAGTTGAGGAACATCTGGGCTATTTCCAGATTCTGGCTATTACAAAAAAGCTAAAAATGTTGAACAAATGTCCTTGTTGTTTACTTGAAAATATTTTGGATATATGAGCTGGATCTTGAGGTAGCACTATTCATAATTTTCTGCAAAAGCCCCAGATTGATTTCCAGAATGGTTGTACAATTTTATATGCTCACCAGCAATGGAGGAAGGTTCCCCTTTTTCCACATCCTCTCATGAAAAAGATGCCAAAACCATACAATGGAAAAAAGACAGCATCTTCAACAAATGCTTCTGGTCTAACTGGATGTCTACATGTAGAAAAATGCAAATAGATCCATACTTATCACCCTGCACAAAACTAAAGTCCAAGTGGATCAAAAACCTCAACATAAAATCAGACACACTAAACCTGTTAGAAGAAAAAATGAGGAAAAGCCTTGAACTCATTGGCACAGGAGACAACTTCTTGAACAAAACACCAACAGCACAGGCCCTAAGAGCAACAATCAATAAATGGGACCTCATGAAACTGAAAATTTTCTGTAAAGCAAAGGATACCGTCATCAGAAGAAAATAGCCTACAGATTGGGAAAGGATCTTCACCAACCCTATATCTGACAGAGGGCTGATATCTAGAATATATAAAGAACTCAGGAAGTTAAACAGCAACAAGTGAAGTTAATCCAGTTAAAAAGTTACAGAGGTAAACAGAGAAGTCTCAATAGAGGAATATTGAACGGCAGAGAAACACTTAAAGAAATGTTCAATGTCCTTAGTAATCAGGGAAATGCAAATCAAAGCAACTCTGAGATATCAACTTACACCCATCAGAATGGCTAAGATGAAAAACTCAAGTGACAACACATGCTGATGTTTCTTGAAGTCGGAAAAATAGAGGAGGTGGCAGCCAGGGGAAGAAGAGTGAGGACTCTCTTAGCAAAGTATCTTTAGGAAGATAGGAGTCTCCTTGCTTTTGGAAACTAAAAGAACCTAACTGTAACCAGCACACAGTGAACAAAGAGACTTTCAGAAAATAAACGTAGAGAACCTCCTCAGAAAGCCTGAACAATCTCTGTGGAACACTTAAAATTTATCCAGCCTGCTTTTCTATCATCAGGTGAACAAGTGAGATATTCTCTAGCAATGGAACCTGTATTTAATCAAAGGAAACATCTGCCAGCCTAAATGTTTAGTCAACAAGGGAAAGCTTTTCTTCTATATGGTCTGTCAAAGCCATTCTGAGCATAGAAACCAGCACAATGAGTGAGAAAACCGAGTCTAGAATCAATTTCACACATACTAATCCATGGACAGACAAAGAGGATAAGAAGTTAACTAAAACAACATTCCTGACATCAGGGCATTTGTATTGATAAAAACTGTAAAAATTAGATGATAATTATTAAAACTTGTAGAATGAAAATACTGTGTAAATAAAGAGGCTAGGGATTCTAATTGTCCAAGAAGTTTCAGACATTTATTCATTTACCACTTGCATTAGATCCAGGATCATGAATTATTGGCCAGAAAGCAACTCTAAATGCAGTGTATGCACTGTAAGAGCAGGAGAGTGTCTGCCAGCAGCCTGGTTTGCTGAGTGCCAGCAGGGAGGAGATTTGGGGAAAACAAATAAAGGAGAGAACACAGAGTCATTTACTATGTTTGGGAAACTGTGTGAACTGTGGGGAGCCAAGAGAGAGTGGAGGACTGATAGAAAGAAAACCTTGATTGCTGTTGACCTCATCAGCTAACAGCCAGGTATTCCTAAGCAACAATAATATTTGATATTTACTCTTTAGTTAATGAGTATCATTGACTATGTAAAGATACAG